CTTTCCAGAGAACACGTCTCCACTGCTCTAGGGTCCAGTGGTGGTGTGCTTTACATCACGGCATCTGACATTTGGCATTGCACTTGGGGATTTAAGGCTTGGATGCAGCTGCTCGGCCATGGAAACCCATTCCATGAAGCTCTCTGTACACTGTTGTGCTAATCTGAAGGCCACATGAAGTTTGGAGGTCTTTAGCTATTGACTCTGCAAACAGTTGGCGAATTCTATGCATATGCGCAAATATGTGCTGGCCCCACTCTGTCATTTTACGTGGCCTACCACTTCATGGCCGTTGCTCCCAGTTTCTTCCACTGTGTTATAATACTGCTAAGAGTTGACCGTGCAATATTTAGTAGCAAGTACATTTCATGGATGGACCTTTTGCACAGATGGCAACTTATCACTGTACCATGCTTGAATTAATTGAGCTCCTGAGAATGACAAATTCTTTCACAACTGTAGAAGCAATCTGCATGCCTAGGTGCTTGATTTTATACACCTGTGGCCATGAAGTTGATGGGACTTGAATCCAATGATTTTGCCAATATAGTATATTTATACAGTATATACAGTATGTGTGTATATATATATATATATTCACAAGGGACATTCAGGTAATACTGGGACTTTTAAGTTGATATAGTAAAAGAAAAAATTTAAAGGAGTGGAAACTGCATTTATTTTTGAATATACTCCCCTGCTACATTTATACACTTATCCCAGCATTTAACTAATATCTGGAAAGCTTCAGCATAGAAAGATTTGTCAGTATGCTTGAACTATCCTAGGACAGCCTTCTTCACTTCGTCATCGGTGCTGAAATGCTGACCACAGAAAGATTAATTTCTTGTGCAATTTTATGACAAGTTATGCATCCGTTATCCAGGATCAGGCGATCCATGGGCTGAATGTTCACAGGAATGACTGCTGTGGGCTGGGAACCACCATGGCTGGGATCATTGCTGACAGACGTACAGCAATCTTTGAAACGTTTACACCATGAAAATGTCTTACTGGGGCCGAGCGTCTCATCACCGTACTGTGCTTGAAGTCTTCTCTAGATACCCACGGGTTTTTTCACCTTTGTTCACAAGAAACGTCATCACCACAGGCTGTTCCATGCACGCACTAACACTGTTGTCTGCCATCTTGGTTAACAGTTTCTGAACTAGCCTGTGACATGTGCACTGCCAATCAGTAATAGGACACACTTGCCACTTACTACCGCATGTAGTACAGCCATGCTAGCATCCTGTTTTGTACCTGTAAACCTAAAAGTCCCAATCTGATGTGAATACCCCTCGTGTGTATTTGTGTGTCTATATATATATATATATATATATGTATGTATGTATGTATATATATATATATTTTTTTCTTTTAATGATTATCCCCTTGTGTGTGTGTATATATATATTCTAGTTTAGCTTAGAGAATGTAGTGAAAACTCACTTTGCAAAGAAACCCAATCACGTGCTGGGAACTACCAGAAAATATACACACACACAGCCGAAATTCTACATAGCACAGAATGGGTAGCATGGGATTATCTCTATGCAGTGAAACAAAGAATGACAAGGTTTGACTGAAAAACTCCAACTCAGATGATTTTCTTAAACAACAGTTTATGTTTTGGATAATCCTATTCTATTATTCAAATTATCATAATATATTCACACCTGAACAGAGCATGAGCAGAGCATGTTCCTGGTGATTTTAAGTGTTTTTTTTTGGGCATTTTAAATGTTTTACATGTGTTTTACAAGAACTGTGCATTGTGGTAAAGCTCTGCTGATTTCCATCATGCAACCATGTGCAAGAAAAAAGTTATGTTTTTTTTTATTTCCTTGCACCTGATTGGGTATTCTTTACAAAGGGGAAGTGAGTGCAACAGAACTTGCAAAGTGCACAGTCTATTTGCCATTAGTAAATCAACCCATGTGTGTGCTTACACAAAAAATGTGAGGCATTCTAAAAATGATGCATGGGGCTAGTATAGGTGGAAAAGATCACATAAATGTCATACCTTTCTCTTTGAGAGATGTTCAATGCCAAATCTGCCCCCTATACTTGTTTGTATGACTATGCTTGTTTTGTGTACGTAATATTCTAGTTTTTGACTATGTTCTTTGGCTGCTTACTCTGGCTGTAAACCCTTGGTTACGTCTTTATTCTTCTGACATTGACACTGTCACAATTCTCTAAACTCTCTCCATAACTTAAACAGTGAGGAGTTTACAATCTTCCTATCTATGACCAGATGTCTCCTGCTGGTTTTCCCATTTACTGAATGGAATACTATATTATATTCATTTATACCTCATTCTGCCTACAGAGATGTATGCCTAGAGAACTTACAGCTTCTTAACTTGAAAATTTTCTATATCACAGGCAATGCACATACTGTATGTGCACCCAACTTTGATACTTAGTGTGTATGTTTTGCATTCCCCAAGGTTGCTCATTGGCTAATGGAGGCGCACATTCTTCGACTCTGTAAAAAGGTTCATGGAATGGATGGAAATATGAACAAGCTGGTGTGCTGTTTCAAAATTCTTGCTCACAAGTAATCAATGCAGCCAGCATTGGGTATGCATTTCAATTATGCAAACAAAAACAGCATATTAAATGTTATTTCTAGTCAAAATGTAGTTCCTAATAATATATTTTATTGTGACTTGAAAAACACAGTAAACTTAAATACTGTAATAGTTTGGGATTTATTTTAGTATTTTTAAAAATATGGTTTAAACATGTTACTGTAACTACGGTTTTTAATAAAACCTTATGCTTGAAACATTAAGGATTAAGTAATGCTATTTCATTATTGATTACCTATGGTAAGCTACATTCCAGAGATGGACCACTGAGCACAGCCTTTTTTACCCATTAGAAAGGGCATAGGAGGGGAATATTGCAAGCCTCATTTGGTTGGTGAAGCAAAGAAATCACTGCTCACTATCATAGGGCAGTGACAGCTTGGCTTCAGCAACTCAAGCTCTAAGTGTCTGTAAATTATGAACGATTCAACAACAGGAAAGGCACCACTACATTTGTGTGCTGTGCAATAGTTGTCTGGACTGTCAAGGGGCACAAAATTACTTTCTGGTAATGTCTGTTATGTAAAGCAATGTATAAATAATTTCATTTGGAGAATGTATCACACAATTTAATTTAACTTTCCAGAAGACTGATTTAAAAAGCTCTACATTAAACACATTAACTTCTACAACTTCCTGGGATCATGAATAATTATTGTCTTTCGCCCATTTGCAAATATATGTAAAAAGTAAAACATTGGATTATAACATCTTATTAAGTTTTCATTTAAAACAAATATAAAATTTACTGTGAAATAGGGTTGATCATACTGTATATATGAAATTCCAAACAAACCTCAGAGTAGTCACCCAGAATTAAAATGTTTTAGAGGACTACGAATATATATATATAAAAAATACATATATATGAGCTATAAATACTCTGTCTTATTTCACATTTATATCATTTAGCAACTTATACAAGTTCGTAGGCTCTATCTCAGAACATGATAAAACTCTGTTATTAACCTTTATTGCTTCAACTACCCCAAGACACTTTTTAATATATTCTTTTGAACATTAAACATGTATTACAGTCTTGTCACATAGATCAAAACTGCAGTGATTATCAGAAATGGAAAAAGAAAAAGTAAAATGTACTCCCTTAATGCCACTACAGAATCGTTGGCTCAGGTAAATAAGATATTCAATGTTAATAAAGTCAACTTTAATAAAGTGCGATAACTTGCTAGTAAAATTATATAATAAAAACGAAAGTATTCAGTAAAATAATATTAAGACTCAATACCCTATATTAAATAAAGAATGAGTTATTTTTAAATAAAGGGATTCCAATAACAATGAAAATTGCCAATTAAAACAGAAGAGATACAGTACATCCGTACTGTAAAATAGAGGGTCCCCAGGCGTTCGGTATAACCATTCAGATACACTGATATTCCAGAAAAGCTTGAATCTGAATGTGTGGCCTTCATGTAAAAATATTTGGCAATTGTCAAGAAAACTTGCAGAAAATGCAGGTCTGATCTCATTAACAATCTATGTTCCACAATTTCTTGCTGTATGATAAAATGAAATCAAGTCTGAATATGTACTTGTAGTCTCTATGACAGCCCTGTTCACAGAAAGTATCACACATATTACTTTATCCTGGACTAATTACCATATCATAGTGCGGTCATGTAAGCCTTTAACTACAGTTGTAAATATGCAGTTCAGGGGATTTTCAGTATCCTCTGAGGAAATCTGGTGATTTGTGGAAAAGATATATAAAAATCTTTACACTGTATCATTGCTTGGGAAACTCCAGCCACAGAAATTATCCAAAAATTCTGGTGCAAGAGCTGGATTTTTGTTTTTTAATCGTTCTTAAGCTGATACCTGCAAAAATTGTTTTTGTGATTTTGTACACTACCCATTGCTGGAGGTACTATATATTGTATCTGCTTAAAGGGTAACTCCACTTTCTTGGGAAAAATAAATGGCAAATAAAAAAAATAAATAAGTTTCTTTGTTTCTATTATAAAATTTTTCAAACAGGTAATTTTTCTCCTTCACTGATGTGCGTTGATGAGGCAGCACACTGATGGGCACTGATAGGCGGCACTGATGGGCACTGATAGGAAGCACTAAAGGGCACTGATAGGCAGTACTAATGAGGTGGCACGGATAGGCGGCACTGATAGGCAGCACTAATGAGGTGTCACGGATAGGCGGCACTAATATGCAGCACTGATAGGTGGCACTGATGATGGGTACTGATAGACGGCACTGACTGGCATCACTGCTGGGCTCTGACTGGTGGCACTGACTGGCACAACCGCTGGGCACTGACTGGTGGCAGTGACTGGCAGCACTGCTGGGCTGCACTGGTGGGTGGCACTGGTGGGTAGCACTGGTGGGTGGGCACAGGTGGGTGGCACTGGTGGGCACAGGTGGGTGGGCACAGGTGGGTGGCACTGCTGGGAACAGGTAGGTGGCACTTCTAGGCACAGGTGTGTGACACTGCAGAGTGGCACAGGTGGGTGCACTGCTGGGCACAGGTGGGTGCACTGCTGGGTACAGGTGGGTGCACTGCTGGGCACAGGTGGGTGATCTGCTGGGCACAGGTGGGCGGAGCTAGTGGGTGCACTGCTGGGCACAGGTGGGCGGAACTTGTGGGTGGCACTGCTGGGCACCGATCATCAGGGTACTGATCATCAGTGCCCTGATGATCGGTGCCGATCCTCGCTCTGACAACTGCCGGTTCTCGGCAGTACTTTCCTCACGATCTGACAGCGTGAGGAAAGTGCAGCCGAGAATCGGCACTTGCATTTCCCTGATCAGCGTGTCATTGGACACCGCTGATCACGTGGTAAAAGGCCGCTGTGATTGGCCTTTTACCACATCACGTGATCAGCTGTGTCCGTAGGACACAGCGATCATGGAGATCGCCGGGTGCGCGCCCCCCTGGGGCGCGCAGGAGAGCGCGTTCTGGGAGGACGTCATATGACGTCCACCCAGAACTGGCCGACCGCAGTGCAACCGTCATTCGGCTATCTGCGGTCGGCAACTAGTTAATGACCAGAACTTTTGCAGGGTATCAGCATCTGTGTACTTATCCAGCAATGTGCGCTCCTTAACCTCCCTAGCGGTATGATTATTTCAGATTTTTGGTGCTGAAAGCGGTACCATTTTTTTGCATGGAAATATGTAGTTTTTTTATCGTAGGCCTGTAATTTAGGAATAACTCACTGAAATCTGTCCGAACAAGAGTCTAGTAAACATTCCAGATATGATAAAACTTGAAACACAAAATCATAAATTACAATTTAATAAATAATCATAAAAAATAACAATATAATAATAATACATTTAATTCAAATATAGCACCAAGTTCGCACATCGCTGAGCAAAGTCGTAAAATTGTGTTCAGTGTCTGATGACGAATTTCCCCACGAATCATTATCACTCAATTCTGGAAGTGGTTCTGATTTACTATCACTGTTCTCTAGCCGGTCTAAAACCGATTTTGACATAAAGGGACGCTTTTTGGACACCATGGACCTTTTTTAAGTTTTCCAGGCAGAAAGAACAGTCAAAATGCAGGCAGGGCACAGGACAAAGCACTAGGGACAAAATGTATGTGAAATGGTTTGAAACAGCAATGTTTTACTATGTAATAATCGTTTAAAAAAAAAAGTCATTTTTTAAAATTTTCAAATTTCCCGCCGGTTCCGGCGCCCGTATGTCCCGACGTCACAGGGACCGGAACACGGAAGCCAGATGCCGGCATCGGCCGGAGGAGATGGCCGGGGACGCTGCAGGGGACACATCGCAGAGGCAAAGGACAAGGTAAGCGCTGCAGGGACTCCCTGTGCAACGCCGCATGGTAAGCCCGAGTGTAGCTCGGGGGTTACCGCTTTTGGTACTGAAACTCTACCCCGAGCTACACTCGGGAATACCGCCAGGGAGGTTAAAGCATCTCTAGATCTTCTGATCCTCCTCTTCTGCATTACTTTAAATTCCAAAAGACTGGATTCAAAGGGCTCCATCATCTGTGCTATCCAGTCTGTCAGCCTCCAGAGACAACTCCTGAGTGGAACCTAGCTGCCACCTGGTTCAGCTTGCACTTTCCTGCCCATTTTTTTAAACCAATTACTGACCTTCTACCCTGGGTCTGACCATTGCCATACCTATAGCATAGTTATCGCAAGCTTGGATCACTACTTAATTACTGCATGCATATATTTATGTATGTTCTTCTGTGAATTGACTTTAATGTCTTTTTATGCTGTATTTACCGAGTGCTTTTGGTGTTTGTGCTGAATACCGCATCCAAACAATAGTGAATTTACATTTTCATTATTGCAGGCATTAAGTGGCTGCATGACCATCATAACACATGCGATAACCTTTAGTGAATTGTGCCCACAATATTTGAATGTGACTAGAAATTACCATTACTTTTCAATCTGCAGCAATATGGCTACCTGGAGGCATTCTGTACACAGAAGGTATACAGAACACCCCCAGAAATGTCATTTTCAGAAATGTCATTTCATGAAAATTAGTGGCTCACTGATTTTTCCAGAAGTCTGCACTAAGACACAAGTCAGATTTTCAGCATCTCTTGCAACAAAAATGTCATCTTTGGTGAGATACTCCCAAAGGACCATCCTATTTAAAGGGACGCAGCAATTTTCCTCATTAGAGCCCTGCAGGTACAGCAGCTAATTAATAATTATGAAACCACTCCCATACGACTCTGCACATGGACACAGGCAAACAAACAGCTCTTTCCTTGCAATGTACATAGATCACCCAGAGGGAAATGTCTTTTTTTTCTCAACAAAAGTGGAGTTGCTCTTTAAAGCAACATGGTAGATAACTGTTACACAAACTCCACTGTTAAATGAATAACATTGGTGGCTGGTTCTTTGAAGTTTAACTCTGGGATACCAATCACAAAGCCTTCTGATCCTCCCTCTACTCATACTTATTCCAAACTGTTACTTTATGCCATGCAAAATCATAAATTCAAAGAAAAAACAATTTCACACTGACCTGTGATGTCCTCAACTGCGCTCACTCTTCTTCCTATAGTTGGGCATATTGGGATGATTCTGTGAGGTACTGCACATCTCCTCTGACCTAGCCTCATGAGCCACACTTGATTACATATCCCATAAAGCTTGGCGATTAAAGCAATGTGCTAAGATGGCTATATGAACAGTGTCAGGGGAGTTCTCTTTTCCTCTGTCACCACTCCCAACATTCTCCACCACCTTTTATCACTGAGTCTGTTTTGCACCACTTCAGTCACTGCTCCTTTTTTCTTCTGCCAAAGCTGGGTGCGTGGTCCTGGGTAGGTAGCCATGTACATCGCTCCACATTTAACAATATGCACTATTAGCTTTTGTCTCCCCTGTACCCTAAAAAACTACAGGGGGTGTATAGACAACCCTTGCTACAACATAAATAGGCTGCATGATGATGTCTGTTGTCAGAAGTATAATCACAGCTATTGCCATGAAGGGTATTTCTTCTCATTTGTGACTGAGCTAATTAGGGCAAAAGTGAAGAAAAAAATAAAGTTTGGGAATGCCCTCGCTACTGACTTGCTAATATACATTTAAGAATTTAAAATGAAGTTCGTCTTCAACAAGTTTAACTATTCTTGTTCAAAAGTATTACAAATATCTAAGGCCTCCTGCACAGGAGTGGCAAAAATGGAGTGTTCAGATCCATGCAATGAACACTGTGTAACACAAACAATGTTTTTTAGTAAAAAAAAACCCCATATATATATATATATATATATATATATATATATTTATACAGTGGGACAAAAAAGTATTTAGTCAGCCACCAATTGTGCAAGTTCTCCCACTTAAAAAGATGAGAGAGGCCTGTAATTGGCATCATAGGTAGACCTCAACTATGACAGACAAAATGAGAAAAATAATCCAGACAATGACATTGGCTGATTTGGAAAGAATTTATTTGAAAATTATGGTGGAAAATAAGTATTTGGTCAATATCAATACTTTGTTATATATCCTTTGTTGGCAATGACAGAGGTCAAACGTTTCCTGTAATATTTTTCTCATTTTGTCTCTCATAGTTGAGGTCTACCTATGATGCCAATTACAGGCCTCTCTCATCTTTTTAAGTGGGAGAACTTGCACAATTGGTGGCTGACTAAATACTTTTTTGCCCCACTGTATATATATTGGTTGGTGTTGTTAGTCAGTTATCCAGAAAGAAAGCTGGTTATTTTCATGCTACAGCATCTATGCAGCTTCTGAATAAGCAATAATAACATGAACTGTATACTGTGGATATTATTTTTTCGATAAATATGTCATCAAGGTTAAAAGATATGTAAGGCCCCATTCACACATCATGTAGTGGGAACATGTGCTTCTGCTTGCAATTTTTTTGCTGGAGATTTACACACATCTTTGCATGTCTCGCATAGGGCAGCCCAATAATTTGAATGGGCTCTATGTGCTTTTGTCACACAAAAGAAGCTCATGTATATTTTTGGGTAACAAGCTTTGCTTTAATTTTACATGCACTTTTTTTTCCATGTGTTTCTGTTGCATGACAATCAGCAAAATCTCACTTTTTGCCATGATTCTAGCTCGATTTGGACTTGTGGGCAATATTGTGCTGATTCTGAACATGATTCCAAATCACTAGGTGTGAAAGGGCCCTTAGGCCTAATAAATCCTTCAAACCTACTAGTGTTTGTAGGTGACTGTTATCCAGAAAGAAAGCCAACAATATGCATATTAGAGCTACATGTAGCATCTATTACCATAGGCAATCTATTACCATAGGCAATGAAACAATGAATTTAATTGTGGATATTATTTTTAGACAAATATGTCATCAAGGCTGAAAGATAAGTAAGGGTTAACAAAACCTTGAAACCTATTAAAACCTTAAGGATAGTACATTTTCAATTCAGTTACAACAGTCTTTTAAGACTAGTTATAAACCTTTAGGGGATTATACAGATCAGTGTTAAATGAAAGAAAAAAAAAAGTCCTAGTTAAAGATCAAAGAGACTCAAATTTTGGTTCATAGCAAGATTCCTAAACATTGCTAAGTATTTTCACAATTTACATTATAGTTATCTTTTGCTGACAATTCATAAGATATGCTTATATGATGTTTGTAATTCCAGTCAGTGAGTAGACCTAGGAATACAAACATTCTTGAGAAAACACCATCAACAAAAAAAAAAATACATATGGATTAAACGTTTGTGGCCAATTCTGCTTACTGACATTTTCCAGTAGAAACAAATGTGTTGTAGCAAATTTTAATGTCTACGTGTACTTTGAGAAGATGGCAATGTGTGTGTAGCGGGCAGTTCTAGGACACAGTCATCCAGATTTCAAACTGTGCCCCCTCTACCTGATTGGAGCAGAGGGCAGGGCTAACAGTAGTGTACTCAGTATGCCATGTCATAATTTATGTATTGGTTATGACAAACCACCATGAGTTATAGAGTTTAATAGCTATGCACATACGGTCCCACAATAATACAGTATATAGAACAGTGAATGAGGAAGATATGTATCTGCATCAGAGTAAGGAAAAAATGTGTTGGTGGTGTCAATAGAAGTAAAAAAAAATGCCCCTACATCAGTGGTGTCACTGAAGGGAAAAAAATTATCAAGCATTGGTGGCATCACTGTAAAGGAAAAAAAAATATTATTTATTTATTTCAGGTACTTATATAGCGCTGTCAATTTACGCAGCACTTTACACATATAGATTGAACATTCACATCAGTCCCTAACCCTCAAGGGGTTTACAATCTAAGGTCCCTACATAGACATATTAGGGCCAATTTAAACATTGGTTTCAGTGGGAGGAAAAATGCCACTGCATCAGTTTCAGTAGGAAAAAAAATTTGGTTCCCATAGGAGGAAAAAATGCAGCGACATTGGTTTCAGTGGGATTAAAATAATACTTCTGCACTCTGAAGAGGACTGCTTTGACATCTGTGTCTCTGTGACTAAGGAGGGCAGCTGGGAAACTCTGTAGGGTGCATGTAATGAAGGTTTTCTGTGTCACTCTAGGGGAGGGGAGCTGAAAGGTACTGAGGAAGCTGGAATGACTACGGGGCTTTCAGGTGTTGAGCTGCTCCACCCACCATATGTGTAATTGCAGGTCTCACAGACTTCAGTCTTCTTTCTTCCTTCCTGGAATGATGGTAGCTTCTCCTTTTCTATCTCTGGTCATGGGATATGTCAAGTGGCAAGGATAAACAGGAAGGAGGGTAGTCTGCCCTCACTCAGAAGCCTGCTCCTAAACTGAGAAGTAGGCCTGCTCTCAGTGTTCCCCCTTCTATCCCTGCTCTCTTCCACTCACATTAGGCTGCTATTGAAAGGAGTAGAGAGCAGGATCCTCCCTTCAGCAGCTAACACGATCCTCTGCCTGACAGGAGTGACACTGCTGCCACTCCTGTCAGTCAAGCAGCAGAAATATGGAGAGCCAACAAGTTCCCAGCATACGCCCCCCACCCCCAAACATAAAAACATGATGCCCTTCCCTGCCTTCCCCTTGTCCTGGCTCTTTAGTGGGTGTAAAAAAACCATTCAGGAGTTGTAATATCGGACTGTCAGTTTTATTTGTATTGACAGCATTATTCAGACCAAGAACATCTACTCACTCTGAAGCCCTGGGAAAGGAGTGGTGACCCATAAACATTCTTTTTAGATATATACATACTGTATGTCCACAATTAATATGATTTACTTTTCCTTTTTCTTCGGGTTTCATTAGCATAAATTCCTAATTTATTCCCAGGCTCCAACACTGGATAATTATTTTGATGCTATAGGATTACATAGTTTGAAAGATTTTGATTTTAATGCACAGGAGGAGAGAATATGATTTTAGTACTGTATCCAT